TACAGCCCCGCCCCCCAGGCCCCTGGCGCCCCGCCCCCGAGGGGTTGCGCGTAGGGGCCAGGGGTGAAGGTTGCGGACTCCAAACCTGCAGGCGATCTTGGCTGTGTGTTCTCTGCGGATTGTTTGCCTTAGCACCCCAGATAATAAGTTTAAGGGATGCCAGGTCTGGGCTGTTCTGTTTCTTTCTGCACCAACACAAAGAATGTGGTGGTGTGCCTAGATTAGAAAAATGAATGTCATTACATCAGGTGGTGAGTGGTGTGAGCTACTGTGCCACTTTGTTACTTCATCCCACCCACGGGAAAACGCCCAGGCCTGGCAGGTGATCACAGGCCAGGACGTGAAATGTATTCCATTCGGGCGTTGACTTTTGCATGCTTTATGCCCTCTCTTCGGGAAGCCCTGGAATCTATATTTATCTCTTGGGTTTTTCAAATGCAGGTGGGGGTAGGAAAGACACCGAACAGGCATAATATATTGGGGGAAAGGCACGGATAGGTGAGAGCAAGTCTTCCTGTCTGAGACCAAATTAAGGTCCTCCAGGTTTAGGGGCAAGGAAAGAGCAAGTAGGACTTGTAGGAAAAGCCAGAACAGGGCAATTGTGGTGGGATTTAGCAGGGTGGTGGGCAAAGCCTCCTGGAGAAATTGGACTGGTGGGAAACCACAACTAGGGCAGAAGCAGGCTTGCTACTCTTCCTTTTTAGAACCCAAGGGGAGTCATAAGAATCAAGGTGGTATGAAATGTTTGGGCAGATGAGCCTGAGCACGTCACAGAATTTCACATGGCCCAGTGTGATGCTGTGACAGCAGACTGGCCCCTGTCCTCTGACAGGGGCTCGGAGCAGCTGAGAGAGGTCTGGACCCAAAGAATCTTTAAGGGGAGCGAGGGGGGAATGGAAGATGACTCAGTGTGGACTGACAAGTTGAAAACAAGGTTGGACATCTTGGATAGATGCCATCACCTGTATGCAGACTAGAATATGCAGAGGTAACAAAAACAACAAAAGCAAGTCTAAGTAGCTCATTTCTCACTCACACAGTAGGTCTACTGCAGATCAGCTGAAAGCTTTGTGCTGGGTTAGTGCTGTCTTCACCCAGGGACCTGTTAGAGCAGCCTCTCTCTGAAAAGCTGACAGTCTCTGTGGCAGAGGAATTTAACAAAAAGGAATCGGGAGAAGCATGAACTGGTGCTTAAAGCTTCCTTCTGGAAATGCTACTTGCGCTTGTGTTTCATTTGCAGAAGCAGGTCATGCGGCCACACAGGTGTGTGAAGTACAGCCCTCCCATATGTCTGGAAGAAGGGAGCTACAGTCTTTCTGAGCAATGACTTCCTAATTATTACCACACTATCCAAGCACAGAGCCTTGGTGTTATAAACTAATTTATGCTTATTACTCGGGGATCGGGGATAGAACTCCAAACTGGCTTAGATTAAGTTTCTGCCATCAGACAGAATGAGGGTTTGAAATAAAAATTAAGCTCATAAATAAAATGAAGTTAAATTTCTAGAGCGCCTGAGTTTCTGCCCTGGGATTTATATGTTTCTGCAGAAGAGGCAGTACATGCTCCGTCAGGCTGCAAAGGTTAGCAGGATCAAAAAATCTGATCAGAATGATCAGCATCATGGGCCAGAGTCCACCATCAGAAGACATGTCTCACCTTCATACTGAGAGTAGTGTAAGGTACTAATTGTATTGTCTCATGGACTCAGAGGGACAGGCTCTTCTGCTTCCCCTTAGAACAATGGGGAGGTTGTAGAGTCCAGTGGGAGAGACTGTAGGACTTTTGCCCAGAGGGTGGCTTTGCAAGTCCTCTGTTACAGATCTGACAAAGGCTGTTTACAGTCTTTGGAGACTAATCCTTGTGCTTTAAAAAAGACACACCATAGGAGTTTCTCTTTTGGCTTTTGGACTTCTTTGGTGAGTGTAATTGTCTTGCGACAGTGCAGGGAACAATCTATGACAGTAAATGAAAATTCAAAACTCGTGGATTTTAATGAGATTTTCAATACATCCAGTTGACCCTTCATTCTCTGGTGATTATGACAGTCTGTTGTGGGAGATAGTTTTATTGTTTGGGCAACTGCTGTTGGGGTGCTTAGTTACTTGGAATGGAAGCATTCTGGATGGTCCAGAATCACATCACTGAAGTCATTTGTCAAAGTCACCTGCTTTTCTGGGATTCAAGTCTAGATAGGCTCAGACTTGCATCTTAGATGTTTTGTTGGCAAGGTCAGGGGCTGGATGGTAGACAGGGCTTTCCGACCTTAATTTTTGCATGTTTGTGTTTGCTTTTGTTAAATGTTTAGTAGATAGGTATTAAATTTAAAAAAAAATTGGGGGGGTGTTGGGAGATGCAGAGACTGTTCTGTCCCAATGTCGGAGTTAGAGTAGAGGAGAGAACTGGAATATAGGGTTTGAGATAAAGAAGGAACTAGTACGGCACTCAGAGCCCGAAAGTCACAGATGAAAATGGAAGGTTTCAGAGACAATGTCCACTTGCTTTTAAATTTTTTTTGATAATAATAACAGCTGCTCTTTGAGAAGTCCCCCTCTGTGCCAGTGCCTGCAGTTGGCACTTTACGGATGCCATCTCAGCGTCACCTGTGAGACAGGTGTCATCATCCCAGTTCAGAGAGGCCCTGCCAGCCCCGCTCCCCGTCAGCACAGCGGTCACAAAGTTAGGACCGGGCTCCAAGGTCACCTGAAGGATGGTGCTGCGGTGAAGTTTTCATCTAAATTCCTATGCCTGCTCTCTCCTCCCTTTCATGTCTCCTTCCTCCGCTCGTTTCTGAGGAGCCCTGGTTTGAGAGTGGCGAAACGCACAAAGAGCGAAGTGGAGACGGACGGCCATCGCGTTACCCAAACACAAGTCGATGTCACTGACTGAGATGCTCCTCCATCCTTCAGCAGTGCAGTGGTTTTTACATTCGGGCTGTTTCTCCAGGCCCCCTGTGCCTCTCATTAATTTTGGTTGAGGCTGCTTGTCTTTCTTTTCTCTCGTTCAGCGCCCTTCTAATCTATTTTTCCACGTGGACCTTCTCCCTGACACAATTTGATTTCCAGGTTGCTAGCAGGCTTCTCTCTGCCTTTGATTTATGTGCTCCTTCCCTCTGCCGCATGTCTTTGCCACACAGATGTGTCTTTGCTACCTTTTCACATTTCTTTTAAAGACCCACAGATGCTTGGCAGAACGTTGCAGACATAATGACATAATGCAGAATAAACGACTGTTCTAGGGTGCCTGGTGTCTCAGGCTTGATGTAGGAATGAAGGAAGATTTAGAACTCTTCAGGGTACAAAGAAAGAAAAGTGAAGTGCAGATTTTCAGCTGCTTATGGAGTGGTTTTTGAAATCCTTCTTTTTATTGATTTCAGGCCCTTCTAAGACAGACATGTAATGACAGGGTTCAGAGGTACAATATGAAAGATATGGGAGCTTAGTTTCAGCGGAGATCCCTCTGGCATCTGGCCGACTCTTCTGTGTTAGCTTTCCACCCTCTTTCTCTCCACATCTGTCCCCCCTCCCCTCCAACAAAAGTCATAGGAGGGTCAAGCACCCATAAACCAGAAATGTTTCAGACTTCCATTGTTTCACACAACTACAGATGCTTTTCATGTCTCTTTTCAGTTAAATAAAACACACATTTTATTTTGGATTTTATATATAATCCACCAGTCATTATCCAAACACCTTTTGCAAATCTAAAATTTCTTCACAAAGACCCATGCCTTAAGTTGGGTGAAAATTTAGAAACTAAATGGTGTGTGTGTGGTGGGGGGAGGACGGGGATGCATGGATGAAATGAGCTTCCTTTTATTTCTGTTTAACTTAACCCAAATTCTTGAGTTTGCATGGATGGCTTAAACCAAATGAACTCAGTGACTTCAAGTAAGGGATATGGAAAAGTGATATAAACTGATGAAGAAGCGTGCGTTTCCCGCATCGTGGCTGTAGATAATGTTTTGGATGAGATTGCGAAGTTAAAGGGTGGAGGGTTCCGGGAGGGCCAGGAGTCCTTTGGGAGAGGAGTGCTCAGCATTTGATCTCTTACATGGTGCTGGAGGAAGGCAGGCATGCGGAGGCCAAAGAGCTGTGCGGCTCAACACGGTTCATGGTCCCCCGATGAGGAAGGGACGAGAGACCACGGAGCAGGCCAGCCTCGGAAAAACAAATCGCAGGGCCACCGCTGGGGCTGCACCCCCACTGGTTCCTGGCTTCTGCACCTCCTGCCTCCACTCCACACCTCACAATAATTACAATCCCACCACAGGAAGAGGTTACATTATGTTTCGATACTTTACGAGGAAGGAAAACAGTGGAAATCCTGGCATCGCACAGGTTAACCTTCAGCCAAGTGGAACATCCCGCTGTGCCAGTGATCTAGTGCCCACATATTCCAGGGAGCCTCAGCAGAGTCATGGGGGTGGGGTGGAGGGTGCTGGGGGGGCGGTGCTTGACTGCAGGAACTGGGAAATTTCCTACCTGGTCATTGGGAGGGAGCGATGGGGCCCGTTTAGTTCTTGGTTGTCATGAGATTCCTAATTTAATGACCTCAGCAAGTTATCTCTGAGCCTGTTTCCTCGTCTGCAAAACAAGGGAAGTGATACTTTTATCCATTCCAAAAATATTCGTTGAGCGTATCATGTGCTGTTCTTGGCACTGGGGAGACGGCCGTGAAGAGAATTAAGTCCCATCTCTCAGAGGGCTTGAATTCTAGTGCATGGAAGCCAAAAAGGAACAGGTCTGTGGATAGAGTGGCAGATGGTGATGCATGCCCTGAAGAAGGATGAAACTGGGTGAGGGGCAGAGGGGGGATGCTATTCTACT